TCAGGCACGCTCATCATTTCTGTCACATCAATGGTTATCGAGGGGCAGTGTCTGCAGGGAAGTGTCAGGATAGACAACCACAAGAGACATCAGAATAACTTCATCCAAGAAACAAGAGCCACCAGAAAGCTCTGAGAGGACTTGTACCAAGAAACACAGGAGTCTTGCCCCGGACACCCAAATCACTGCTTCCTTTGTTCCAGCTCAGGCACCACATGCCCTACACTGGCAGCTGAAAACCCTTTGGTGACAGAGCACTTTTGGAAGAATTTCTCTTTGTTGGTTTGCATGTTTTCCGTGTGTCCATCTGCCTTTCCCTGGGACTCACCAAGATCTGAAACTTGGGTCCCAACCCTCCCTTTGCTGCTTGGCTTTGCTCCTCTGGAAGTTTGAAAAAGGCAAGGGATTTAGCCAAGCTTATCCCATCTTCTTTGCTTAAGAGAACTGTGAAGGATGTGTTCCTGCATGAAATTATCCGGTAATTTTCTTGTCTTCATTTTCAGTGTTTCAAGTGTTCTTAGGGGAAGCACTGCCAGACTTTCAACATATTGTTATGGTTACCACCTTGATAAATATAACCTGATTCTGTCTGCTCTCCCCTCTCTCTGAGCCTTCCCTCCTGACTTCTTATTCTCTCTCCTATCAAGCAGAAGTTTCTTTTCTTTATTTTCAGCACCTCCACAGCCTTTTCCTCAACCAGTTTCCAAAATCTTCATGGCTGCTCTTCACCTTTTCTACCACCTCTCAGTTGCTCTGAAAATGTTCATTCCAGTTCTCTGCCAGAGCATAGAAAAGCCTCCAGCTTGTTCAAACTTCAGTGAAACTGGGTTTTTTTGCGCTTTCTGTGGCTTTAATTGAGAGAAGGTCCTTGTAACTGCTCACAGATCCTCCTCCAAGGAGCTGTACCTCACAATAAGTTGACCTCAGGGCTGATCCAGTCCTACTGTTCCATTGTACATCTCCATGGAGTCTACTGGCAGGGCAGGAATTATTTCTATATTATTTTCTGTATTATTTGATGCAGGACCTTGCACACTTTTCTTGTCCGACAGGTAATACACACACACAGAGAAATACAAATTAACTGGATATTCCCCAGCCTAAGAGACACCCTGACCATGCTCTGGTGAGCCCAGATGCTGCAAACATCTGGAGTTAGGCTGATGAAGCAGGATTTGAGCTGTCCTGGTCCTTCTCAGTGACTTCAGTTCAGGTGTAAATGCCAATCTCTGGTAACAGTGTTTTACACTTGCCTGCTGCAGAAAAATTAAACAAAAAATAATAGTAAGAGCCCAAGGGTCAGAGACTCATCCAGTTCAGAGCTGGAGATTTTCAAAGCAGATTTTCCTGTAAGATTCCTAGCAATCCAGGCTTCTAATCCTATAAACTCTGAAGCAGCTGCATCTCAAAAAAGGAAGAAAAACTCACAACTAACGAACTAACAAAAATCTCCAGACTGGTTTGAAGTCTGAACACTTTGTGATTCGAGGCGGAACGAAGGTTTGGTTCAGCTCTTACTGCATTGGATTCTTGGGTTCCACCTGCAGTTGCGGCTTTGTTTGGCACCACCTGGGCCTGAGCTTTACATGGACCAAGCTCACCTGAGCTTTACATAGAGCTCATCCTGATCCTTACACAGGTAGAGCTCACCTGAGCTTTACATGGACTGAGCTCACCTGATCCTCACACAGACAGAATTCCAGCTGACTCCCAGTGAAGCCACGAGGACTCCTCTCCTGAAAATCAGACTTATTGTATCTGAACAATATCTGAACAATCAGGAGCACTCAGGCAGAACAGCTGCTCCCAAAGCACCCTCTGAAAATCACTATCTCAATGAGCTCTGCCTTCCCCTTTCCCATCTGAAATAGGTGGTTGGGGTCCTTAGGGGAGGTGGGTCATTGGGCTGGGCAGCCTTTTTTGACAGCAAGAAGGGGCTCATTCCAGAGGGGAGAGCCCAGCAGGGAACACGGGAACATGGAATTTCCTCCTCAAAATACCCGGGGTACAAAAGTGCAGAAATGAGGCTGGGTCTTGAGGCAGGAGAAAACAGAGCTGGAGTTGGGAGAAGAGCGCAAATCACCAGGAGCGAACTCAAAGTCTCACTCAGGGAACATTCAAGACCTGCATTATACTGAAATCTGTTGGATATTGCCGGCTCAGCCACAAAATAATGCCCCCAAAGGACTAATGGTGTTAAATCCACGGAATGAGCCATCTCTGTCCCGTTCTCCTTGCTGAGGAGGCCAAGCCCCCCCCCCTTATTCCTCATTTCCCTGCTCAGACAGGTCTCACTCTCTCTTCACCTTCGAGCCTCCCTCAATCCTACAATTCCATTGTCAAATCCTGATTCTGGGCGCTGGTACCGCAGGGAAAGCAAAGCAGCTACAAACCGGGAAGTTTCCAGTTTGTGCTTTTAGAATAACAGGAATTTTTAATCACCTTCCTACATAAAATCGATGGGGGGAATGTGCATTGCCCTAAATAGGAGAAACAACCCTCACACTGAAAATAAAGACTTCTCTCTAAGGGCTATTTCCATGGTAACTCGTAAATTCGGAGCTCCAGCTGTGTTGGCTGCCGGAAAAGGTAACCGGGTTGTTTGTTGTTGTTAATAACGGGAAACCATCACCACTGTCCTGTCATGCAAAAAAAGCCTGGATTGCTTTGGTTTAAAACCTCCCCGAAGCTGGCAAAGAACTGAGCTTGCAAAATTTCACCCCCGGCAGCTGGACGACAAGAAAGATGAACAGAAGGAATGAGAGGAGAAAATGATCCATGATTTAACCTCGTAGTTCACAACCAGCATCCCCAGATATCCACGTGTCCCTTTTGATCCTGTCAAAATTCCAAGTGGGTCACAAGTTACATAAGTATGTTGTTATATATTGATTTTATACACAATTAAATATAAGCTAATACAATTTCATACACGATTCTATGTCTGGTTTTGCAGTAGTTAAGGGAACATCACAGCACACAACAGCCCATGGCAAAATGCAGATGAAAGATTTTGAATTAGGGAAAAAAAAACCCCCAAAACCACACACACACACACACACAAAACCCCTCCTCACATAAAAACACACCCACACATTCCGACCCTGAACAGGAACTCTCCGGTTGGTTTCCAAGAGTTTATCCCTGCAAAGGGAGGTGGTGGAGTCCCAAAATAATCCATGTTGTTAAAGACGTGTGTGCAGAGAGAGGAAATCGGGAAGGGCAGCCAGGAAAGTGTTAATTGTTAAAGCAAGGAACACCTCCAGGAATCTCTTTGCATTTGAATCCCTGATTTAGCGGGGTCTTTATACTCTTCTAATCTGGAAGATGGGTGGAAATAATTGCATCCCGTTCTCTTTCCTGAGGCACATTTGCTCCTGCTGAACTCTGCAGAGTGCTGAGCACTTGGTAAAGCCCAGCTGAGGCTGCTTTTCCTCATAACAACAAAGAATTCAAGTTAATATGTAGTCCGGGCTTAATAGCGCTGAGGTTGAACGTGTGAGCAAACTAGAATTTACCTTAAGGCAAATTCAGCTTTGACTTGAAGTGTCACTTCAGTGATTTGATGGCACATCACTCACCCCTGGCAGTCTGGGAAGGCTGTTCGGGATTTTCTGGATCATTCCCCTGGATTTATAGGATTAGGTCCCACGCACTCAGCCAACCTTACACTTGCAGGGCTGAAATGCAGCAGGGCAAATGCACATGCCAATTTGGAAAGGTCTCTGGTTCCAAACAGAGATTTCACTTAACAATTCTGAATCCAGGGATCTCTTTACCCATGTTTGCCAAAAAGCCAATTAAAAATGAAGCGTGCGAGGTGAGTGACTGGCAAAGGTGATGAGACTAATGTTGCTGGCATGTTGATTTATGACTCAACTGAACCTCCAAAATCGTTAATAAAGCATAAATGTGCAAGCTGTTCTCAAATATTAAACCAAAAATCAACAGAAGGGAGATAATTCTCCACAAATGTTTCTAAAATTCGGATCACTGGACAGCTTCCCTCTACAACCACTGGCAGCACTCCTAAAAATTGTGTGGTACCAGCTTTTGTGCACATTAAATATGTTTTGGAATCCTCAAGCCTCCAGACGTGGATCCTAATAATACACAGTTGGAAGAGGACTAAGAAAGACCCCAAATAGTCTGGTTTTATTTTCAGTTCAAAGCTGAAGAGGTCACTGCCACTCCCGGGCTGCTGCGGGGTCTTTGTAACACTGTAGGATTTTCCCGTGTAGATGAAACTTCTGGAGAGATCAAAACAGACATTTTGTTCCCTGACACTCATGGATTGCACTGTGCGTAGGGAAAGCAAAAGTGCAAAAGACCCTTTGGAATTTCCAACTCCAAAGACAGAAACTAGACCAGCTTAAAGCTTCCAAGATGATTTTTCCTACATTTTCGGATTAAAATCTGCTTTATATCCATGTAATTCATTATCCATGTTAAACAGGTAAAAATTATCTTGATACCGGTTTGAACCAGTTACACCTCAGAGCCTGCTGGAAGCTGGTTATCCCTGGATTTTCTTTCTGCTCCAGAAATTTTATTTCTCGCTTGTGACCGCGTGTTGTCCCCAGTCTCCCTCCTCTGACACTTCGGCTACTGATGAGATCCGGAAGGAATAATGAAGTTTTGGTACCAGGATATCCCTGGGCTTTCCACGTTTTGGTACCAGGATAACCCTGGGCTTTCCATGAAGTTTTGGTACCAGGATAACCCTGGGCTTTCCGTATCCCGGTTCTCTGCTGCTGACAATGCCCAACCACTGTGCCATTCCCAGCAGGAACCTGCTCCCTGCGGGAATGAGGGAGGGAAATGAGGAAGGTGGAGGTGGAGGAGCCGCAAATGGTTTTCAGTTAGTGGGTCCTCCTTTGTCGCTGCAAAGAGGGGATTAGGGGCAGGTCCCGGGGGGAGATAAAACCTCCTGGAGCGGGAGCTCAGGCAGTGCCCAAAAGGAGGAGGGAAGAAGGGGCAGCTTGTTGCCGGTGCCCAGCATGGCTCGGGGTGTGCTCTGTGCCCTGCTGCTGGCGCTGGGCTGCGCCCTGGGCCGGGCAGGGGAGTATTGCCACGGCTGGACGGGGGGTCCCCAGCGCTGGCACCGCGGCTTCCAGTGCCCCGAGCGCTCGGACGGCCCCCTGGCCACGCTGTGCTGCGGCTCCTGCAGCCTCCGCTACTGCTGCTCGGCCCCCGAGAGCCGCCTGGACCAGGGCAGGTGCCCCGGGGAGCCCCTGCCCAGCCCCAGGACCCCCGTGCCAGGTGAGCTTTGCGAGCGTGCAGAGGGAATGTCGGCTGTGCTTCCTTCTGTGCCACCTTCCCTTGGTGGCATCGGCCGGGCCCCTTCTTTTCTCTGTCCCCGCAGCTCCAAGCTGTCACCTCCGCGGCAGAAAGCGTTGGAGCGCTGGCACCCTTCGCTGGGAACAGGGAATAATTGGGGGGTTCACTCAGAAGGCTTTTCTGTCAGTCCTGCTCCTAGAAAACCCTCTAAACTACTAACAGAGTCCCCTGCGAACACCTCTGATGTTCATATCCCCGTGGAACGTGTTGCTGACCTGTTACGGATTGGACTCGATCTCAGAGTTCTTTTCCAACCTAGTTGATTCCGTGATTCTGGATGATTCTATTAATGCATGTGCTCTAAGTAACATATTTAACTTCAGTTCTGGCTTGTATTCCTCAAACCCAGACTGTGCAGGCAATGCAACCCCAGTTTAAGTACTAACTGTAAAACTCGGGTAATTTCTGCTTTATCACACACGAGTGACCAGCAGGTGTGTCACCTGAGTGCTGGAACAGCTCTTGCACGGATTAACGGCCGGGGTTACAGGACTGACCCTCTGCATTTTGAGCTTTCTCAAGTGACCTGCTGTAACAATTCCCAGTGTCTGATCCTGCTGCAGCAAAAGAGTCGAGAGTGAAACCACTCTGGGCTACCCCTGGTGCAAGGAATGAGAGCGGAGTATACCCTGGAATGCCCGTGGATGCTGGTTACTAATGCCTCTTTACGATTGCAGTGCCCGTGTACCTGCCTTTCCTCCTCGTCGGCTCCGTCTTCGTGGCATTTGTTGTTGGCGGCGCCTGCATTGGAATTTGCTGCTGCAAATGCTTCAAATCCCGAGCTGAGGGGCAGCAAAGTGGGCTTGCACCCGGCCAGACTTGGCTGCTAGAGCCTGACGTTCCTTCTGGCCTCCCCAGCTCTGCCCCCAGGGGCTCCCTGGGCAGCGCTCCAAGCAGCATCTGCACGGCTCTGCCTCCACCCCTCCCTGTCCTCGGGCTGACTCAAAACCCTCGGTTCTTCTCCCCTCCACGCACTAGTGCACAGCTCTCACACCCTTCCCGTGCTCTCCACGGGATCCCAAGGGATCACACTTCAATCCTGGCTCCGGCACCGTTTCTTAAAACAACAATTCATGGACATGGTGCTGAGGCAGGTCTTGGGGTGGCACAGGGTAAGCCAGGGATGTTCTCAGCAGTTCATGTCTGACTGCCACTCACAGCACCCACCTGCATCTGCCTCACGGTCATCGTGACTACTTTGGGACTGAATTGAGGACTTGGAAATATTTGGTGCTATTAGGAAGTGCATCGGTTTTGGCTTTTTACAGCTCTGAAGGCACCATTTCAGAACTTATTTTAGCTTCTTGGCGTTTTTCACTTGTATTATTTTAATGCTGCCAAAAAAGGGAAAATTCTGAGCCTTGCATACCTGCTCAGGGAACAACTGGAGCTCCAAAACTGAGTCTCACCCTCCCCTGATCCTTTCATGCTCTGGGGGACATGTCAGAGGACTTGGTTTCAATTCCTGCAGCTGAGGACTGGGAGGTGCCTTAGTGGAATTATTAATTGTGGACACCCAAGAGCCTGCACAGCACAGGAGAACTGTGCTGAACCTGCAGGCTCGGACCAGTCAATTGATGGTAAAACACTGCCCGTGGCTGGGCTGCCCCCGCTGGACCCTCAGTCAAGCTGTGCTGCTAAAGGAGCAACTTTTAGCCAAAATTTCAGTGATATTTACATTTTGTACAGATGCTACATGAAGATAATAAAACAATGTATGTGTTGCTTCCTCTCTTCCAGTGGTTTAGCAGTGATTTTTTTCTTTCTTTACATGACTGGACACTTCCAATGGCTGAAGAATTAAAGGGGAAGGTAAGATCAAATTAAATTCCAGGCAGTTTTCTGAGGGTAATGCCTGCTTTGGCTTCTTGTTGGGATGCAGGATGGCTGAGCCATCCCCTTCCCAGCAGGACATTGAGAGGAAGAAGTTGTCAAAATATCCTCGCTGCTGGAGTGTTTTAACACCTCCTCCAAGCCCTGGATCCCGAGGGATTAGATTGGGAAAGGAGGTTAAAAGGACTCCACGGGTGTTACCAGCAGGAGCAGGGGCCAAGGCTTGAAAATCTGTCTGGAGCCTTTCCCCTCTTAGTGCTGTCTATTAAGCAGCCAACTGGTTAGTAGTAATATGGTTAATAATAGGGTTTTAAACCATAAAGGGGTTTGGAGACATCTCTTGTAAGTTAATAGACTTTGTATAAACAAATGCATGGCCTTGCACTCATTTAAGTGTATTTTACTGAGTTGTGGGAAAGTAACAGGTTGGTGTCTATCAAGATTAACAGAGACTATGTAGTTATGAAGAAATATGTATACATTACATTTCATGCACTTTTTTGCCTGCTCTCTCTATTACTCCTGCAAAACTTGTAAATTCCATTTTTATTTCCTCTCTTTTCTGTCGTGCAATCCAATGCTAAATATGAAATACCAGCACAGAAACTGTCTTGACACTTATAATAGTGTAGTAGGAGAAAACACAATTGTTCTTGTTATTAATTGGGTTTTTAAGCCCTTTGGGCAGGTGTATCATTAGACTGCTGCTAAAACAAACAAACAAACAAAGATCTAAAAATCACAAGCATTTCTCTGGGTTCTTGCAGACTGTGCAGTGTATGACGTGCTCCTCTTTTACCAGCACATCTGCCATGTACTCCAGGCTCTAAACTGAATTAGTACTTACCAAGTAGCATTTGTAGTATATAAAACATGAGTCCAAACCCACTGGTTTTGATCGATATTTATTGTATTGTCCTTCCCAAAGATGGAACCCAATGGACAAGGGCCATGGATATTTGACTTCAGAATGTTTCATGTGAATTGTGGTGAGCAGAATGTCCTCCAGGAATGCTCATACTGAGTGCCCTGGTTTATAGGGGCAGGGGATATATTTGATTACTCCTTGACTCTTTCCTGGGGGCGAATCAGGAATTTCACAGAGTTCACCTGACCCACAGCTGTGATTTTCAGTCTGCTTGGCCAGTTCCTCTTAAACTTGAAATGAAAATATAAGCCTGAAAATGGAATGCCCTAAAAATAAGAGCTTCCCCAAAATACTGACTCACATTGTTCACTTGTTTTAGTCCTGAAAAATAATAAGTCAAGGTTTCCAGAAATATGAACCTCCAAGCATCCTTGGCACAATCAGTGGAAGATACTGGGATTTATGGAGAACTGCCAACACACAGGACAGCACCTGGAATGCTGGGTTTTCAAGTAAAATTTTAACCTTGTATTGCTGAAAGCACTTCAAAAATTATACCCTTTCTATAAAGAAATTTGTTTGTAGCTGGCTTAGGAAAATCTGTAGCTGACTGGAGAATTTATCTCATTAAATGGCCAATTTTGATAGTACGTCGTGAGAAAAACTCCTGTCAATTCAGAGATAAATGGACAAAGTCTTTCCTGAGGCTCTTTATTCTGGGAAATACAACAACTCCCATCATATATATGTTTTAAGAAGGTATATTTTATGCTTGGTAGACTCTGGCAGTAGAAATGGAGAACAGGTGGGTTTATCAGCAACTCTCTCCTTTAATAAATATGATTATTATCTACTGTAGATTTTCTGAACTAGAAAGGTAAAGGAATATGTGACCTGACAGCCACTTAAGCCCAGGTCTGTGATGTCACAGAGCTCCTGTGAGCTCCAACAGAGATGGAAAACTCTCCAGGAGGCAGCTGCAGGATAAGGGTTTAAATTAAATAAGAAACCAGAGACAGAGCCTTCCTGATACCACAAACCAGAAACGGGTCAAGAGGATCAACCCTAAGGAAGGAAGAAGGAAAGAGTTGATCAGAAGTAGGGAATGGAAAAGCTAAATGGTTCTGTGAGTGCCGCCTTAATTACTCTCTGGTGAGGATTAGCAGAATGTTTGGAGTCAGCACTTCCTCTCCCCCATCTATACCCCAACTGGAAAACTGAGACCAAAAACCCTCAAAAAAGGTTTTTTTTTAAAGGGGTTTAGCAGAGCAGCTGCTCACTGGCAAAGTACCGGGAACAACAGGATCTTCTGGATCCCTCCCACAGTATTTTCTGTACAGCTCAAACTAATGTGTGAGGCAACAAAGCTGGGTCAAGTATTTCAAGGGTTCAACATTTCTTTTCGAAACTGCCAGAGAAAACAAGAACGAATCGATTTGTTGCACTCCATGGGCTGCACAGACGTTTTTCTAAGAAGCATTCGCTTTAACATCTTCCACCAAGCCCCCTGTAAACTGGGATTACCTCTGTCTCAATTAGCATGAAACCCGGATCAACTCGTGTGAGGCCTGAGGAAAAAGCAGTTTTTATGTAAATTCTGCCCCTTTACTAATTTGCGGGGCCTTGCTACTGAGTTTAGCACATCTTTAACTAGATGGGATATGTTCAGGCTAAATCCCTTTTTTCTCTCCCCTAAACTGCTTTTCCTGGTTCAAGCTAAAGCAGGAGCACTTAGGAGAGACTAAGCACCCATTGTGCTCGGGATGGGCTTTGTTTGCCTAATGATGCCCCATTCCATCCCCCTCCACTTCTAATTAAGAAATTATTTACCCTCTTTGCTTCTTAAGCCTCAGTAATGACACAGGTGATGGGAATTGTTCTCGGTGTGTTCCTTCTGGATTTAGGAAGAAAAGAGAGTTAAGAATTGAAGAGGCGAAGAAGCTTTAGCCCTCAAAAAACCACATTACAAGGCTCGAAGAAAGGTGTCCGTGTTGCTTCTCCCAGTCCTATCTGCTCACGGCACTGCTGTGTTTTCAACAGGAGGGTTAATTTTCGTCACTTCAATCTGTTCCTGATTGATCTGAGAGAAACCAAAATGTATCTTTGTCCAGATTTTTTTTTTGGGGGGGGCAGATTTAACCAAACTAGTGTAAAGTATGGCAGGTTTCTGTTGTATATAACTGTCTCCACAATATTCCTGGTTTATTCCTTTTATTTTTTCCCTCTGGATCGATATCCACCACTGATCAATCCCCTCTCTGCTCGTAGAAAATTAACCCAAAGCAGTTTAAAGAGCTTTTAGTTCTGTTACTGTGAATGATGATGTTTTGTATAAAACATTTGAATAAAAAGCAACCTCCCTTTCTGAACAGACAAACTAAGGGACAGCAAAGTCAGTCAAGGTTTTTCACGTCTTTCACTCTTTACCTCTTCCAAGGCCACAGAGTGTATTGGCAGAACTGAGAGGAGATTCCAGCAACCCTGGCTCCATAACTTGGATGAATCCACAGTATTCATGCATTTCTTTGGCTAAGAATAATGATGGATATTTGCCTGGCATTAAGTGACACATTTGCTTTCATTCAGTGTAGCTGCAGGTTTGAAATGTAAAACCAGAGTTGTTACAAACACTGTCTGATTTTTTCCTGTTTATGCCAAGAGTTTCCCAAAGACCTGACACGATTTGTTGCAATCGAGTCAATTCAACTCTGAACTAAACAAGAAACCCCTTGAGCCTTCAGGCAGAGCTCCAGATTTGCTATTCTTCAGTCATAGGTATTTGGGCAAATGGATCAGAAATTATCAGAATGCAAAAGCCCAGCCAAGCTACAGATTTCTGTGGGATCTCAAAGCAAGGAGGAGCATTCCCTGTATGGAAGTCATACTGTTTTGTTAGGTGCTTCCAGAGGAAAGTGAAGGCAGTTACAATGTGAGGTCAGAGGTGTGGTAGAAAACATGATTGATTTCTATTTATTTGAAACTAGTTTGGTTTTGGTTGTATTAGATCAGTGGAAAGGACGGTGATTAAATACAGCCCCATATCCTGGGAAGTTCCTGCCGGAATCCCAGTGCCTTGATCTTGGTCCATGAGGGGGAAGGAGGGTCACAGGACAAAATAAGACTGGATGTTTTGAGCAGGACAAGTTGGAGGAATTGTCCTCACAGTCACTGCCATAGCCTGACATGAGAGCGAATGTGGGCTGCTGCAGGACATGGAGAAGGTGAGAAGGTGCAACTTCTTCTTCCCCAGTAAATCTTGGATAATAACAATTCCTGACGTGCTCCCCTTCCCTGTTAAAGGATGCCACACGTATTTGTAACCAAGCCCTGTCGCCAGCACCCATTTTGTGTGGGTTTTAAATGAAAAAGCTCCCTTGAGCACTAGGGGAAGGTTTGACTTGCCCCAAGGGCTGCCACTTTGCTTCTCTCCTGGCTGGCAGAGTATCCCAGTGCTCATTCCAAACCTCATCCCTGTTGCTGAGAGCAGGTCTTGCTCCAGCAGAAATAAAGGAGAGCAGCCTGGCAGTCCTGGGTGCAGGTGCAGAAAGAAACTGGGAATGTTTTTCCTTCCCTAGGGAGTATGGCATGGAGCTGCTGTAGCAGCCTGCTCACCCACAGACCTCCATGCCTTCATGGATTCATGGATTTTGCCGGAATAATTTCTTTTTTCCTCTTAAGGCCTTCACAGTCACTATTGTACTGATGTGAGGTTTCCATGTGGTTCTGGTATTATGGGCCCGTAATCTCCTGTTTATCAGAAACAGGGATGGAAGGATGGAATCCCAGAGGGGTCTGTCAGGTCAGAGGCTGAGGCTTCTTCCCTGGCACTGGATTATGGAAGGATCAAACTGATGCCTAAAAATGGGAGGAAAAAACCTCACTAAGGCATCAGACCCCAGCTCAGAGTGTTTGTGGTTATCTCCTGTTTCACTGCTGAGTGTTTGAGTCCCTACTTGTTGAAAGCCCACTGCGTTCACAAATGAATGGGTAACGTGT